TTCATTAATAAAAGCCTATATTAAACCATTGGTGCGAAGGAAAATTTTTTAGAGAACTAAAACAGCACAGTGATTGGTTGAAGTGTTAGAAGACAATAAATCATGAAATACAGCTAAATACTTTATTTTTTTTAAAGTAGGCAATTTTTTAGAATTTTTACTTTCCTCAATAACATTTTGTACACGTATATCTAACCAAAAATAGAACAAATTTTAAAAGCCAATGAAAATATGAAAACTTGCCAAAATATTATAATGCTGTTGAATTTTTTACTGACCATTAGGTGTGGATGTTGGTGATCGTTGGAAATGTATTTATGAGATTTGCCAGCCTCGTATTGGTGATCATATTCTGGCATTTAATGATATTCATCTTTTGATGTCTACACTTGGAAATAAACAAAAAAAGGAATCAGAAAAACTAATGGAATCCATTAAGACCTTTATTAAGTAAGTTAATCGCCTTTTTGCCTGAAAATGGAAACTTATGAATTGACCTTTGTCCCTTCGTCCGTCTGTACCCACCTCCATATAGGACAGGCATGGGCTGATATTACATTCAAACTTCACACATACATCTTGTATCATGAGATACATAGGCATGTTGATCTGTTTCATGATCTGATTCAAGATTTTAGTCGTGTATGGATGGATTTTGTTCAACATTGTTCGTTAGACGTAATGAGACATTTATGCCAGTCATTTTGCTTTTCAGATTGGATTCAAAATGTCTGTCAGCTATTTTGTTCAAACACACCACACATCTACAAAACTACATCATACATCTTGTTGCATATACGAATGAATATGGCGTGAATAGTTGTATTCTCTACAGTTATTTTTATCCTTGCCAATAAATCTGCAGCAAATTACATCTATTAATTTAACAATTACCGGTATCGCCAAAGTTCAAAAAAGTATATGCAGTTCTCACCCATTTAACATTATAGTGATATGATTAAAGGCATGTGCACGCATTGTGGGTGTAGACAATGTTGAGATCTTGTGTCAGTGAAAATTACATAAATTGAATGAAAGCTAAAGCCGATATTTACAAATATTGATGCATTTAAAATTCAAAGATAAAAGTTTCTGCCTCACATTGTTGTTGTTAACTCATGTATATTTGTTAGCAATCACACTGGTACACAACGTGACATCATGCAAAAGATTGGTATAACAATATGTGAAGCAGTCCAGGCATACAGTGATGGTGACTTTGCTAAAGCTGTGGATATATTCCTACCTGTACGGTATAAAGTTGTAAACATTGGAGGTAGTAATGCACAGGTAAGCGTAAAATTCAATTAAAGTACTTGTATCACAACTCCATGAAATCTTGTTGTGAGATGTCTCACTCATTCATAACGACCTATGTAACATATATCGAATCTAGGAAATTGCCTTCAAGTTATTTTAGATGTCAGTGTGACTTTACTGTCACATACAAAAACACATATTGTAAATTGTTGTCACCTTTCACAAAATAAGCCTGGTAGTGTATACTTTTTCATATATCTTCCAAAATCTAGCAATTGAGAAATTATGGTTATTTGGTCAAATATTAACATAAAAATAAATTGTTGCAGCAAAGTTTTTAGCAGTACACATTTATGGCATTCAGACACTTAAATACAATAAGATTATGAAACAACATATTTTATGTAAGTTGTATACACTGTATAGGGCCCTTAAAAACACTTGATATTGTCATTGAAAAATAAATCATGCAGATTCAGAGGCAGATACTTATGGGTAAAATACAAAGTTGAATGTCAGGCTTACTGGTTGAAAAATTGGGCTATGTGATCATGTTTGGTCGGATGACAGAAATGAAAGATATTTGAAACAATTGTCTCACCACTTCTTATAATATATTATTTTTAGAGGGACTTGTTTAACCTGTTTCTCATAAATGCAGCCTTGAAGTCTTCGAAAAAAGAACACCATCAACTGGCAAGGTAAGTAATATCTTATTTGAATAAAGTTTTGTTATAACCAATAATTTGTATTACGTTAATTTGTTCAATGCTGACTAATGAAATAATAGCAACTTTTCACATGACACTCGGTACTTATGTTAGTTTTAGTTATATGTAGTGTGTATATACATTATTTATTGCTTCTTCCTTTCAAGTGATGATAATCATTTAAGATTACATCTGGTACATATATGCTCTGGGACAATGCACAGATCTGATTAGTTTTAGATTAAAATTTGTGCATATTGGTTAGCTTTTACCAAAACCATCAATTACTTATCAAAGTCTCAAGTACTTATCTTATTTTATTGAATCTTTGTACTTAAATATTCGAAGACAATGCGATGATCTAATTAGTTTTGAGGTTATATACATCCACAATATTTACCTAATTTGCATAGTCATTTACTTTTCAGCTTTATAATGAAACTTTGTACATATGTGCCCTGGAACAATACACACACCTAATAATGTTTGGGCTATATTCTATGCATAATAATATCCGAATGTTTTACCTATATCTCAAAAACCAATTATTGCATTTGCAAATTATGGAAACAATGCTAAAGAGCTGATTAGTTTTGGATTGAAATACGAGCATACTGATTGTCTAATTTGCATATTTTACATAATTATCAATTTTCACTGAAATTTGGTCCAAAGATGCTCTGGGGTTATGCACAGATAATTAGTTTAATGTTTAAAAACATGCATATTGATTATCTAATTATTATTTATTAGGCAATAATGTTATTTTGTAGAGGTGCTTTGGAATAAATTAGACTGTGAGTCACAGATGTACAACCAGACTATTTTCTGAAAGTATTGTAAACTTCAATAATGTGGATCACATTGTTTTCACGCTGTGCAACTCAAATAACAGACAGATATTAGTTGCCAAGTTTCTTGTTTGAAAGGCTAATCATCCCTTTTTACTTAATTTTCAATATGCCTCCAATACTCTAAGCACACAGGAGTTCTTTCTAAGGTTTCTTTGATTCAAAATTTAATTGTACTTTTATTCATTACAGATCGCTGCTGGTTGAGAGAAAAGCACTAAAGGAAAGTGCTCCAATGACTGACCGATTGATGGGGAAAGCTATAGCACAAGTGGAATAGTCACCGAAAGACAACTCAACAGATTTAAAAACAACTTTTAATTTCTTGTATACCTTAATAATATAATCACATATTAATCGGATGTTAATTTTAATATATTATACACAGTGTTGTCAAATTACTTTTGACACTTCACTGTTGAAAGACATAACCCCAAATTGAATTGGTTGATACCCATTGGTAAACAAAACACCACAATGATAAACGATACATTATATTTTGTCCATATATGAAAAAAAATGAGACTATGTTTATTCTCATACCTTAATTCACCATTCCTTAAGCAGCTTATAAACTGCTACTGTTCCATTCATACACAGATTATAAACTGCTATCTCTGTATCCATATTGTCCTGTCAAATTGAGAAAACACCTAACCCTATATAATTGATAGTTCTGCTGGTAACTCGGTCAGTTGTATCTTCTGTTGTCATGGCACTGACATATTTAGTATGAAAACAATGATAATCAAACCTAATAATCCACTATTATTTCCCTAATCACTATTATTCAATTATGATTCAGTGCTTTCTTGAATTTCTCATATTGTTATTGTGTTTATTCAATCCAATCGTCTTTATTACACGTTTAACTCGATGATAACTTCATTTCAGTGCTATTGTCTTATTAATCTATAATAGCTCATAGCTCCATGAACAAATCAGCAACAACCTGCTAAATTGTGTTACGGTGGCTGATGGTATCAAGGCTATATAAGCTTAATTACTTGTTTTAGCACGCAAATACATGTAACCCATTCCAGTGACGAGTAATAAATGGCGTTTACTGATATTGTTTATTTGTTTCTTGAACTTTGCTGAATCTCCTTTGTAGCAATAACGTTGGCCCTTACCAATCAGGCTATGATTGATTGATATGTGACCCAATTACCCAGTTCTGGTGGCTTTGTTTACCACACCCCCCAAATGGACTATAAAATCGCTTGTCCAAAGCCTATCATTCGATGGTTAGTTCTATTTTCATGATTCAACTGCATGCATACCAGACAATATTCAGTTTGATCTCTGAACTTAAAGATATTTCCCCATATGAATGGACGACTATAGTGGATTGTACACATTTTTCTGATTGACAGTAGAGACATGTATACAGTTTCATTGAAACAGTTTTAATGTATGTCGATCAAAGTCAAAGTTTGTATATAATGTGTATCCAGTTTCCAGTGTTTCTAAACTTTTATTCTTGTGTTACTGAATAATATACTGGTTTTTACTCTGTCAAGTAATTTATTCCAAATCTCAATCCATCGCACACAAGTCTAAAAGTTTCACCAAAGATTCTCTACCTGGTTACTAGAAAGACCAGCATGACTTTGAAATACGCAGATTGCAAAACAAAAATACAGACTGTGACACACTAATTTATAAACTTAAACTGCAAATGTTGTATTGATTTTAAATCTCATAAACAGTATGTCTTTGAATTTATTTAGTGTCCAATACTGGGTATCCGGAATTGCCGGAAGTTATTTTTCACAATTAGATATTGATATTGATTGCGTATCCTCGTCTTAAATACACGAAAAGACGCACATAACAGTAATATATGGTCAAGCAGATTAAATAATGCCGATCTGGGGGATGAGATCGTCACCTATTTTTTTCGACAACGAGCTAAGATGGTGTAATGTCCTATGACAAAGCACAGTCATTTTGTAGTAATTGTTGTTTCAATGTATAATTTCAATGTGGTTCTCTGGTAAAGGTAGTACTGTCCGTTTGAAATTACGTCCACCAAATGTTGTCGTTTTGTCTGTAATGTCGTTTTGTTGGTTTGAATTAATTAAATCAAATAAGTATATTTGCGGTGACAGATTATCCATATGTGATTAGAATTACTAATTGGCGTAATGAGACATACAAAATAGTCGCAGATATACTGTCATTTTCGATGAAGGAATGGATCAGTAAAAATAAAATCTAGCGAAAATACAGTAAACTCAGCAAAAATACGTCATAAAAACAGCCAGTCTGTTAAGAGAAAATTAATTCTAGCTAAAGTAAAAAAAAATATTTACAATACAAATACAAATATCAGCTCGCCTAACGTGCCGACTCTGGAACTCCGATTAAGTCACATTCAGATACGATATGCATTCTAGATTTTGATTATACATTTAAATATTAACCGACCAATCATATGCCATTATCCGTGCTTCTACTTTGAATTGATCATTTGATCATATTATTAATTGCTGGTCGCTATTTGCGCGCTGATCTAATGCATCGACACATATTTTATTGAAAACAACTATACTATTTTGTCGTTTGATATCATGCCATATTTTTAATGATAACAGCATTTGACGTCGTGCTCTGTTTACCATGGATTCGCATCAGCGCATGTGATGCTGTGCGTGATTTCGTCGACAATGAATACAGGTGTATATTCTGCCATGGTATTATGGTGATGGAACGACCACGTTAATGAACTCGATTGCTGAAGGTAACTTCGAATTGTCTTACATTACCATAATGCTTACAATCTTTTATTCTATAGGATTAAGAACATTCTAGATGGTGTTAAACACCACACGTCATGCCGTAAATAGTTAACTCTGGTTTAATAATTAATGTAATATTCACAAGGTTACTGCTGATAACGGCCATTTGAACTACTACCTTTCCACATTAGATGCTAACACATGTCTCCTACGTTAGTTCTTTTAGTTTCACTGTAACATAGAAAAGGTGAGTAATCTCATAACGTAATTGTGAAATCATTTAAATTATTTTGAAGTTATTGGCATTGTTTTTAATGTAAGTTAAAAACACGTATATGAGAACTATATATATTCATTTTGAACTTTGATCGCGCTTGTAACACATGAATGACGTAGTAGTTGGTGCTTGTGATGAACTCTGATGAACGAGTTCCATTATACGGATTCACATTGATACGAGGTGAACTTTAAAAACTGTCTGGTTGTAATATTGTTGAGGGTGGCGTATGCTACACTGACCATGACCAGAGATACCACATTTGATAAGAGCAGCTAATAATTAGATACAACATTATGTTTAATAACGAATGTAAATCTGATATACTGGGAGTGATTTTTAGAGTTGTGGAATAACTTGCACTATATATAAAGGAGAGACAATAGAGCTCATAAAATAAGTTCAATGCGATAAGATTTTGACTACTTTCATTATTACAGGTCATGTAATTAGGATAAAGAAATTGCAAACATATGGGTCACCGGATAATATTTGAATTGAAGACTGAATTGTCCCAAAATTTTCCAGTAGCTGGGCTGAAAATGTCATATATTGTTATTAATATGAAATTCTGATATCCTAACATTTTTGCCATTATATGTCAAATATAATTTATACAATTCGGCTGGTAGACCGTTATGTTATTTGGGAATACATAAAAAATGCAATACATAGTTCTGATTTACCAAATGAATTCATTTCCAAACATGATAAAGTGAAAACTAAAGTGTGTACTCTTGTTTGAGTCTATGATAAAAATAACCTGACCTATAATGAATAGTTGATGATGATTTGGTCGTAGACTCCGTCATAAAACTTTTTTTCTTGTGGTCACAATACCTCAAATAGTTTAGAAGCTTACTCATAAATGCAAACACCCAACATTTATTCATTCCGTAATAAATTGTATTCCTGCTGGACAATATAAAGATATTGAATTAAAAAGCTGAGGGTACCAGCCTAATTTTCGAGTAAATCTTGTTTTATTTTAGTGGATAGTGGCTATTTTGTTAGGATTATACTGTTTTTACCATGGGTTTCTACATGACACACATATTATGCCGTATCTCAAATTTGAGGTTTAGTTAAATAGGCTGAAAATCATATAATGTAAAATATGATGATTAAGTATTGTTGTTGTTGTCCTTAATTATTTCAAAAATCTCGTTTTTAAAATGTGTCAATAAATGCATTTTTCAACTTTGTCTTCTATTATTTTGATTTTACATAATGCGATTTATAACCAACTTTCTCAAAAATTATGAGTAGGCATCTACTTGTGGTTACAGTAACAGTAATTTTATTCGATTTGGAGAATCTTACCACTCTCTATGAAATGTCAACAAAGTTTAGTTTTGGTGTGACTAGCAAGTGAGATTTTCAAGTGATTTTATAATTTGGCTGAAGTAAAATATTAGTTAGCAATAGAAATATGTGGACCGAATAATAATAATAATAGTAATATGCTCTCATAAAAACTGATGTTGTGACAAGTGTAGTTCCCGCCTTTTCTTAATCTGGCTAGTATTTTATCTTGCTTATATATACTATCCTATTATTTGGGAACTTTTATACAATTCATGTTATAATATATAACGTACATTTTGCTTAGATATGTTGCTGTACTATTATTTTAAGAGTTTTTATACAGTTTATGCTATATTATTCTATAAGGGACATTCAGATTAATGCAGTACATGCAGTATCAAAAGGCACACGATATGTAGTACATCCGAGTAGCCAACCAGCGATCGTGTTAAAGCTGGTGATTTCTTGCATTAATCAGAGCCAAGCCATGATGATATATACCCCCACTGAAATCTTAGAAGCAGCTGGCCGAAAGTTTCAAAGAGGGTGGAGATAGTTTAAACAGTGAATCAGGTGTATTCCTATGGCTTCTGAGTGGTCAGTGTCAACAAATTATTTGTTGGTTGGGTAAATTATGTCGACCATGCCTAGTACTATAAAGCAGCCAGTGTATAAGTAGCTAATACCACGGTACATCAGGAAGCTGATTCGGGCTACACTCTCACAACACCAGTTTGTCCCGTGTTGTTTCCTACACCAAGTGCATCATGATCATGATTGAAAACATATAATTATGATTTCATTTTTTCACAGGTAAGACGTATATGGAGTATATTTGTATGAACTACTATGCCTATTACATCATTCAGACTGTTCATTTGCCTAACTATCTGCACTATATTTCTGATTTGTGTGTACTTGCAACGACTACCATGTGCGTTTAATGTGGACATAAACAGAGCTGAACAACCTAGTGTGACAGTACACTCCACATGCAAGACGTGTGATAATATTCCCGTCGTTCAAAATATGAGCTGTCTGCAAAGCACACGTGAATGGATATCGTTAGTGGAAGCTCTGGTACCAGAAGGTACTGGTGTATGCAGTCACTTGAATACAGTACTTCGTAATTACTTGAACACGTCGGATGCTGGCAGAGAGCCACTATCAAATTTCTTTTTGAATTGGAATTCCCAAAATGCATCAAGCCTTCGTCAGTATCATGAAGCTAATATTATCTATACACATTTACCTAAAGCTGCTGGCACGTCTGTTGAGAAAATTCTCACAAAACTCGTACCTAAGACAGGAGACTTGCGTATTAGTGGAATTCCTCACTGTTTAGATCTATT